ATTTAGAGATTTTCTAATCTTAAGTTAAGGACTATATCTCATAATGAATGGTTGTATCTTATAACACATTTAACGATGAATTTTATATGTTCCTGTGTACTAGCCTATAGTTATGTTTATCAAAATTAGATGAAGATTATTAGTGTGAACCTAGTTACAGCAAGTTACAGTCTAATAACAGTTAGAGATAAACACCATAATGTGTCCTTAAAAACTACCCAATAGCAGTGTTTTCTGATGGCACTTGTCTGTCATGAGAGTAAGTTGACATGATTTATGTGGGGGATTTTGTTTGTCCTCAGTAACCTATGCTGCTTGTTCTAGGTGAGACTAAAATCGATTGTGTGGTCTTGGTTGATTGGGTATAGCCTTATCATGCTTATGGCGTGGGCTATTGCTCATAGTATCAGTCACTGGTTTCCTGGCTCCATTATACACTGGCCACCGTGATGTGGCTGGAATATTGCTCACTCACCAGAATCAATATCTACCCCAGTGAACATTGTTTGAGAGTGTTGAATATACAATGTTCCAGAATAACCTGAAAGTATGTGATAACATATCATAAGTGCCTCCACGTAGCAGAAGGTTCATATTGCATACCTACACATTTATCAAGGAAACATACGCCAACATGGTTGAGAGTGTAACCGCTGTGGAACTTCGGTGGCAGAATTGGTCCCAAGTTATCCATGCTTGTCTAAACATTAAGATCAGGTGGTTACAGTATGTGACCTGGCTGATTGTGTGTCTTCATAGCCAGAAACAAAAAACGTCATATTTCATGCTATTTGTGGATGTAGCTAACTAATGATCATTTTCAGTAGAGTGTCAGTCTGTGCTGAAACACACTACTAGCCTACCGGTAAACATGGCCCTCAGCAGCAGTTTCAGTAGTGATATTATTTGGACTGTTAGTAGTTGAGCTCACTACACCGATAGACCCGTGAAGATTCCGGGGTAGAATAGGTCTTAAGCGACCCATACTTGCCGTAAAGGTGACTATGCTTGTCGTAAAAGGCGACTAACGGGATCGGGTGGTCAGGCTCTCTGACTTGGTTGATACATGTCATCAATCCCAATTGCGTGGATTGATGCTCATGATGTCAATCAATGGATTGTCTGGTCCAGACTCGATTATTTTACAGACCGCCATCATATAGCTGGAATATTGCTGAGTGCGGCGTTAAACAACAAACAAACAAAAATACTACACCGACATAATTTTACTAGACTCTCGCTTCAGACTAGTGGCTAATGTCGCAGACTGGAGTTAAGTGTTGTCATATGGAGTATTTAGCTGAGCTTACAAGACCGAACAGAAGTTTACTAGACTCGGTCTTCGGACTAGTGGCTTAATCACAGGCTGATCATCATGCATATGTTAAACCTGTGAAATAGGCAGGCTTCGTGCATTATATGTAACATTACCTGACAAGATCATAAAGGAAACAAAGTGGATACTGGTGTGAGGAATTTCTACTGACACCGAGAAGTTGAGGAGTGGACACAAAGGTAAATCTGCATGGTGTGGTTACCTGTACGAGCAGTTAGCAGGATGACTTGTACTACGCATGTTGGAGTGACAGCTGGTCGGTTTAGTGTTAACATAAATAACCTGTGAGATTACTACTAACAATAACATGTTGAAGCATGGTACTTTTATTGCAACCACATAGCATGAGATATATACAGTATTGATATTTAGATCCTGCATTTGTGATAGGTGAGTAATCTGTAACATTCTGGCTTGGTGCCAGTTCCTAACATAACATTGTTTTGTGGACATTGCTTGCATTCATCTAGGAAGTGGAGGATGATTGTTCACATTAACAAGGATGACAATCTTCTGCGGATCCACAAACTTCCACGAATGTCCCACCAATGATATTTTAGATGGAAAGAAAAGTTTGTGCCAGCTGTCATTGGTAAAATTGTTTCTTTCTATAGAAGAATTTGTGTTGAGTACTGAATGCAATTGAGATACTTGGATCACGGGAACTTTAATAGATTTTGTATTGGTGAATTCAGTCAAGTTTAATTAATTATAGTCAGTGCCAAGAACATTTGAGTCTACTTGCCCCCAAATATATTTGGCATTAATTTCAGTATATTTAAGTCTTAGTATATAGACCAGCATAATCCAGTCTTACTAGTTACATTGAGTTATATGCAGTGCCGGGCTCAATTTAAGGAAATTGATTTAGCTTGCAATAGGTGCATACTGACATGAAAACCAAGTTGCACCTAACAAAACCAGGTTGCACCCTGGTCCCCTAAATTCATCAAAGTAGAAACATAGGCTGGTCTGCTGTCAGTTAATGACACTTTGCTGAAGAACATGATAGGAACATGTGCCCATAATCTTGAAGTACCCACAGTTTGATGATGTCACGCCTAAGAAAGCATGACAAATTACACGTAACACAGGGATTAGTGATGTAGTATGGTAAATAGACTTTAGAGACACTAAGTGTGTTCAAAGATCGATTTTGTGGAGTTGTAAGAGTTATTCAGAATTATTATACATATACTTGGTGCATGTGGGCGTAAATATTAGGTTGCATTTTTTAATAATAGGTAAAAACTTGTGCATGTTTTATATAACTAAATTGAGCCCTGTAATGTGTCACATTTTCAACATATGTTACTTACAAGACACTGCCAAATTTAGACAGGGGTAGGATAGTAGTAACTGTTTGTCTGTTAGTGACAAAAAATCTAAAAGAAATCTATTTTCCTCTTCAAGAACATCTAATGTATGACATAAGGATACATATGAGTTGGAGGCAGTACATGACATTGTTGTCTTAGAAATGAAAGTCATGGGGTCCTTGTCATATTCACATTAGAAAATATAAGATATATGGGTCCTTTTGCTAAGGCAAACAAAATGAACTCAAGGGTGTAAGAACCTGTGATCATCCTCATTTGTAACAGTGCAAGATAGAGTTTCTTGCTTGTTTGTGTTCATCTGAGGTATGTTCTGTTATTGTCCCTATCTCCTTAGTAATGGAAGTTCTTGCTGAGCAGTTCTTGCTTTAGGACCTCTGTATGGCGGTCACTGCAGATTGAACTTTGAATCAGATTGACCTGTTATAAAATGCTATCCTTCAGGACTTGATTCCACCTTGATAGTGAGTATTTTATGTAACATACTATACATGGCTAGCATCGAAACAGAGATAGTAAACATCCGCAGTTAACGTCTTGCCCGTAATGTGCTGCATGTATCATGAAAGCAACAATGTAGCGACATTGATAGAAAGTACTTTTGTTCCTGTTGCCCTTTACTTCAATGGCTGGCTGATAATACATTGGTCATGACCAGGTTCAAGGTCCCTTGAGCATGTTGAGAACAAGCCGCATCTCAGCAGTAGAAATTGGCACTAGTCCTGTAGTCCTCGCCAAAGTGCCCAATAGTTAAGGTATCATAAGGACTAGTAGAAATATGACATTTTTTAGGGTTTTGCTATGTGTTATCATAAGGACTAGTGGACTAAAAATGTTAGTTTCTGTCGCTGCATCTTTGTTACATTAGGATGTGGCTTGATGGACATCTTTTGATATCCTATGGGCTCTTGTTCAAATGAACTTTATCGGATGTGACTGGAAGGCTTATCATCAAAATACAGTACTTTGTTGATGGTATGGATAGATCGCTGAATTCAGATTCAAAGTGCTGAATTAGTGGTATTTGGATATTGGGTGATGAAGAACAGGCCCATTTGCATTCAGATTCCAAGTGAGCCCATGTTGATTGTTTTAGTTAGTGAGTCGTCGTGATATTGCTGGAATATTGCTAAAAGCAGCGTAAAACCATACTCACTCACTCACTCACTCTTAGATAGTGAGATTATCTCCCTTGGTTAACAGGAATGAGTCTGAAGTTGAACCACCTACTACAAAATTAATTTTCTTTGTTATACTCTTTGAAGTGTGGGGTCTTCTTGACCTTTTGTGTCATCTAAGTGACAAGATTCACTGACAGTATAACTTGATCAAACTTGATTATGTTTTTAAAGTGTATTCGAAAACTTAATATTGGTTCCTAAACACGTCTTTTGCAAAAGGTTTGTTTTGGAAAAAAATAGTTCTTTAAGTATTGCATAGAAGAATTATGGCACGTTGTGATGTGTTCCTACAATTAAGAACAGCTGTGGATAGTTTAAAAGATCCAGCTGCCACAGCTGTATTCTTCATGAACTCGCCTACTTCTGCATAAACTGCAGATATATGGCTCATGCTTGTGTCTGAAATAATATGATTGCATGTATTAGTTAATAAGTATTTACCAGCATGAAACTAGTGTGATGTGAAGTATGATTAACATTGATGTTGGAAAAATGATAATGCTTTGAAAAATAACATCAGTGAAGTTAAGCAATATTCAAATCCTTCATTCATAACATTTATCTCTGTAATGTATTGCTGTTTATATGATATTAGTAATGTAAAAGATCAACAGTGACCAGCAAGTTTTGATTTTTCTACATCTGTGCAAATAAGGTCCCTGTCATGTTTTAACGCCAAGTACTGTGGGTCTGGGGTGACCCTGACACTGGATCATGCTCATGCTTTCTGTCACTGGTTTGCTTGGCCCATACTTGAGTATTTACTGGCTGGTGTGGTATTGCTGGAATTATGCAGTGTCAAACAGCATTCCCAAGTGTCAAAAGCGTTTGAGACTGCTGGACCGAATTCGGCTCTTACCATCATTTTCAGCAGAACATATTTAGTGGTACATGTATGTACTATCATTAGCTGAGCTTACTAGGCCAAGCAGAGTGTGACTAGACTGGGTCTTGGACTAGTGGCTAAAGTAACAGACCGATTCCCTCATTTGATTCTTTTGCATGTGGTTACTGTTAACCCTAAATTACATGAAAGTGTTACAGTGTTTGAGTAAAGTGTGATGAATTTCCCATTTGCTCCTCCTGTGAAGGAAAAGACATTACTTGACTTTAAATTGGCCTTTACTTCATGTGTTCTTGTTGCAGATTGTGAACCATGTCGTGGGATGAACATATCAATGGAGGATACCTCATGGGTTCTGGCATATTGTCAAAGGCTGCCATTGCATCCATTGAAGGAGCAACCGTGGTCACATCAAAGGAAAATGGTCTCCAAACTATGAACCTTACTACAGAAGAGATCAAAGAGCTGGTCAAAGCATGCAAAGGAGACGAGTCCTGCTTTGCAAGTGGGATTTATATGGAAGGCACTAAGTATATTGTAGCAAATCGATTAGAGAACCAGCTGAATTTGAAATCATCCAAGATGGTAAATGATGTCAAGGTTTCAGCCTCTGTTATTATTACGCGCCAGTATGTTATTGTAGCCGTAGACAAAGATGGCTCACTTAAAGGACCTCTTGCAAATAACTTGTTCAAATATGCTCAGTACTTGCTAAATACAGGTTATTGATGTGGTGTGTGGTCATCATTTGAGGGAACAGTATGATCATGACCTCGACCATGATGCAGGTCCCGGCTGATCACAGCTTGTGATGCAACAGTCCTTGGGGAAGAGGTCTTTCTTGCTACATCTTCTCGTGCACCTTGCTGCCTCTCATCTTGCTGAAAACTAGGACTTATCCATGTTGCCTGCTTTCTGAATTCATGGAATACAGTATTTGTGTTATTGGAAACATGCTATTTTGCACTTCATAATACAGGGCTTCCTGGACTGCTGGTGAAGCTGAGACACTTCATCTGTACATTTGTGTTTTAATCTTGCTGAGGATGCATATGCTTTCCTTTTGCTGTCAAGGAGCAAAATCTGTAATATTATTTTCTCAAAGAAAGCTGAAGTAATTGTTTCAATAATGCAATGATTATGTTTCAAGAAATGCTTTGAATAGAGAATCATGAAAATTACTCTGGTGTTCATCAGTATTGTTTTTGTTTTTGTTGGTATTTCTTTACATTATAATTAAAAAGTTCCACAGTGTCATATGAAATCATTCCAGTTAATTTATTACATATCAAACTTAATCAGTATTGTTATTCTTATATGAGATTTGCTTTGTACTTAATATCATTTTAAGACTTTGAAAACTCATACTATTATGCAGGTAGTGCTATGATGGTAGTCTGTGTGTTCATAACCTCACTGTACCTTGTTAGTAAATATGAAGTAGTAGTAGTTGTGCATTATACTCCAGAAATAAGAATCTGTAAACATGATCTAGACGACGTACATGTTTATTAATTTATTTGAGAATTATTTGTACTTTATTGAGTCTGAAGATAATAGCATTAGCTGTGTTGTACCAAGGTTCTGTGTCAAAAGGGTCCCACTACTCCTCAATATTTAAAAAACCTTCAGAAAATGTGGAAAGTTCTTTGTCATTACTCATAATAATGACATCCAGCTTTGTGATTGGCTAGTTGCCATCATGTGACAATCCATTCAGTTTGGTCCGCCGGCCTGTCCAGAAACATATGGATATCATAGTGTTTCGCAAAACGTCACATGCAAACGTCATATTGTCATGGCAAACTAGACCCTGTTCACACTCTGATTTACTATACAGAACCACTGGCAGTCATAAGGCTTACCTGATGCTGTCACACAAACATATTTCACAAAAATAAGTCACTGTACATGTGAACACCTTAATGTCACGAGTAAGACAATCTCATTAAAATCAGAACTATGTTGTTGCTGCCGCTAAACAAAAATCTGAGGACATCCTGTTATTTTACCAGACATAGAGTTAGGCTTGGTTGACCAATTAACAAGGGTTTGACTCATTTTTATTAATACTCATACATCTAAGTTGTGTACAGATACTCTGCTGATAGCCTAGGTCAGTCTGGTCTTCATTAACAAGGGATAATAGTGACCTCTTACTTTCACCCAGTGCTAATTAGACAGTATTGATCTTGATTGGAAACAGGCAGAAGAGAAAGGATCCAACCCACACTAGGTTCATGAAAATATATATGTAGTTCATTGATTCATTACATAGCTGACTACAGAATTTTGGTAACTAAGTATTATAGAACTTATGTAGTTTGTATGCCTCACTTAAGATATCTTATACTTCATGATAGAAATGTATACCTTCTTTCAAAGACAGTATTATCATGTTGTTGAATACTCTAGGTGTAATTTTAGTCCTGGTGTCTGAACTGAATACTGTAAATTGGTCAGTATAATAAGATTTGATCTGATATTAATTAAATCTTGTGGTTTCTTTTCCTTTTGACATGCCCTCCTCCAACGAATTCCATGTATGTCTGTGATACAAATCCCTCCTTTGGTTGCCATGCCATTCTGTTCTTCTTACCATAAATAACGTTCTGTTTTACTCTACCAGTACCAATACCAACATGATAATACTTACTTTTTAGATCTAAAAACTAGGTTGATGAGGCTCTTCATTTGGCTTATATCCTGGAGATTACAGCTGTCGGAAGCTTTTCAGCCATCATTGTTGCATTGTTTTATTATGCATAACCACTTTTAGTCGAGTATCCATTGCAGCAATAGTGACTACTGATTGTCAATGTCATGCCTTCTTTGTGCTTTGTTAACCTCACTAGCCACATCTGTGTTAGTCCTGGTTGTCTTTATGCAAGCAATTTATTAAACAAGAGCCTTTCCTACACTGTGTGTTTCTGTTTTTTTTGCTGGATACTTTTATGTTGGAATTTAAGGTATATTTCATGCCATTTTGTATCAGTCTGTACCAAAAACTTTTAGACTACTAGCCCAAAACCTTGTTTATTATATGGACTATTATTAGTTGAGCTTACTAGAATTTTATTAGATTCAGGCATTGAACTAGAGCTAAAGTTACAGACTGTAACTATCTACTTATACAAACTTGTTAATGTCACAATGAACATCAGTTTCGTTACTTGGATGTTAAATCATGACCGCCACATTGATCATGTTGACAACATTTCTGTCAATATTGAGTGAAATTGTGAAGTGTCTAAATCCAACATTCATAAGGACACTAAGCATGTTAAGGTAAAGTTCCTATGGTATCTGGTAAGTAATACACTTTTGTTTTGTCACAATGGAAACTGTTGATATCTAACGGTAAGTACCAATTTGCCCTTACAGTCATTTCTTTAAGTATGAAATTGAAATTTGGTATGCACTTTGTACCATTGTGCTTGGTATATGATATACACTTCTGTGCATGTTTTATTGACTTGTACTTTGTAGTATGACACTTTTGTACAGAATCTCTACTGAAACTGTAGAGTCCTTGAAGCTGAAATTATGATATATGAAAATATGTACCATCTACAGAAGGCAAGATAATTATTATTATGAACAAATGAGTATAAAAAAACCCAAACCAAAAGAACATACTTTATGGATAACAACTTCTGGTTTATTGCATACAGCAACGTTTCGATGTAGATTCTTACACCGTTATCAAGCTGGAGTGACAACAACCAAGTGATGAGAGATAGATATATGCATGACATGTTGTGATAAGCAGCAGATTAACATGGACATCAGTAATAGATAACAAGCTGATAATTGGCAATAAACCAAAAGTTGTTATTCATAAAGTTTTACATTTTTCTTACTTGCCAATCAAACAGTTATGAACAAATGGTTTTATATTATTCACTTACAAGAAATAATACTTAAGTGATTCAAATTTCTTAAACATCTTGAAACTATTCACCAACCATCTTGACTTCTTAAACTACAGGTCAAGAACCCTTTAACTTTCTCTTGTATTTGCATAACAAGATATGTATTTTAAAAACAAGTTAGGTAGAGTTGTACTTTCTTTTAACCTGGCTCTTATAATGGGCATGAATGTGATATTTCCATCTGAAGTGTTTTTGATCTTTTTGCTTATGATGTTTCAATGTTACTTGGATTTTCTATTACTGGTATACCTTGTCAGTCATTTTTCTCTTCATTCAATCACATGCCTGGATGGGTTGGGTGGAGGCAGAATGTACCAAGGGAGCTCAAATACTGATAAGAAATGTTCCGTTCACAACAGCTTCTATCCCGTTTTGCTGATAATATCAGACTGAACCTCCAAACTCTCCTTCACAAGAAGAGTTGAAGTGACCACCAACACAAGCTATTGCCAGGTCATCTACCCCACTGTGAAAACTGTTTCTCCATTGATAACATGATTGAGTGCCAGATGCCACAATGGTGTTGGTTCAGATGGGCTGTATTTAGGCCAGTGTAGGGGAGTGTACTGCAGTCTAGCACCTGTGGAAATTCAATCAAAAGTAGATCTGGCTGACATGAAATTGTTTAGTTTGTGAAATTGAATTCGCGAAGAATCAACCAGGTGTACTTGAAGGTGGCTAGTGGTTTTGATCTTTGCTCTTAATCAAAAAAATAAAATAAATTTGTTTTGTCAGGGGTAGGTAGAAGATATGGGTCATTTGACCTTCTAAAGTCAAGTAATCTTGCAAATTTAACTTTGAGTTTGATTGGATTAGAATGAAAGTAGGAGTTTAAGTTTAGCTTCTAATTTATTCATCTAAAATAGTGCCACACTTAACATATTTCAGATTTTTTCAGAAAATACATACAATGTACATGAATAGAGTGGAATCTGAATGTCGTCATCATCAAATCTTGATCTACAGGCTCCCCTGGTTTGTGGTAGGCAATTTGGGTGGTATTTTGTGGCAAGAGTCACACCTACTCACTCGTTATTGAGTGTTTCAGCTGTGTTAACTCATGTCTTACGTTCCACTCACAGGAAGCAGCTGTAGGGTCAGGGGTGCCACAGTAAATGTATTTACAGACAATGTCAACAACACTATTTTAGTTTTGGGGAATATCAGCCCGTATATGTGTCATTTCACACATTTCTGGATAATTTCTTTCAAGCGATCCCATCCGTTGGTACTATCTGACTAAGCTTTCAAACTAAGAGGTGGTAAGTAGCTCCATTCAGGGCAACAGAGTTCGGCTTCTAGCTTTGTAATCTGATAGAATTTTGCTGAGGATGCATCATTTGAGAGCCAAGGAAGCATTACTTAGAGCAGAAATGTTTAGTGTTCTTCCAAGTACCTCTGTAGAGCAGAAATGTTTAGTGTTCTTCCAAGTACCTCTGTATAGGTAAAGACTGATTCAAGAAGAGGTCGTTTGGCTTGGCTTTCCACGTGTTCCAACTGAAGCCTGTTGAGTTGCCCTTGTTCTCCAGTTGTAGAAGCTAGGAAACAACTAAAACATAACAAGGCGTATCTAGTAATCTTCGCCATGTTCAGGTATTCTAAGCTTGTGGACTATTATGGGATATTACCAGAATGTACATACAGTATCTTTACTACAGGACCTCGGTGATATAATGACTCCCACTATGCAGTGCTTTTATGTAAGGTGTTCCTTTAACGAGCAGAGGTTTTATCATGTGTCCACCATGAATGGATTAATATTGATATTCTGTCTAATGCTTATCAGGTCAATTTCTCATTAGGAAGTGAATATGATGAATTAATTGAAGACAACGTGATGAAAGTCATTGCAAAAAGCATCTTCTAGGGTTTGGAAGTTACGTTTGAAAGTGGATTCATACCAGTAAAATGTTCACACTAGGGGTACAAAAGATCCCGATTTGAAAATGTCTTCAGCAATCCATGCTGGTCGGAAGAGGCGATTAACGTGATCGGGTGGTCAGGCTCGCTTGGTTAATGCATGTCACCTTATTCCAATTGCGTGGATCGATCCTCATGATATCAATCACTGGATTGTCTGATCCAGACTCGATTATTTACAGACCGCCTCATATAGCTGGAATATGGCGGTGTGCGGCGTTATTCTTACTCCCTCACTCGGCATCAAGTACTTTCATGGATCGTTTTCATCATTCGTAAATGTGTTACGTAATTGTTTATATGTATAATTTCTACTACATCGAAATGTTGCATTTGTGTTTCTGTAAGTGTTAAGGTAAATTTAGGCATATAGCGTGTTCTCGAAATCGCAGTTCATTACCCATTACCCATCGCACGCAATAAACGGCCGTAGTGGTTTGTGTTTGGTTCGACCAGAGCAGGCTGTTGAGTCCATACTCCTAACACAGCAAAGTAATATGGTTTTATTAGATTGACGAGTTCAATTCTTCCACTCTCCACCAATCAAAAGATTAAAATCGCAATTACACAAACTGGTGGTAATCGTGGGATTTATTTGGGTTGAGGGAGTAATTCCTTGAGTGAACTGGGCATCGGTTTATCTAGGCCACTCGTGGAACTAACACTGACGGCGTGACACTATTTACCGCCATGTATGTTAAATCCCGCAGGCTTCTGTCCCGACCCTGGCGGTTTATACAGTGTTTAGGACCAAAGACCACTGTAAAGTGAAATCTTATCCGCAGGTCCAAAAAAGCAACAGTTAACCCCTTTACCGACTCCATGTGATGTTTGAATGCATGTGGGACCCGCTTCTGTTCTTTGAGATGATGTGTGTTCACGCTGTATATTGGGACCCTTTTAACCATGGGTTGGATGTAGATGGTAGCTTTCTAGGTACACAGTCGGAGTCCATCCAGTTGGTGCTAGGATATTTTCTCAAATAATACAAGGACAGCCATTTAGCCCGGATAACTTGTGACCTAGTTTTACTTTTCCTCATGACTTCTTTGGTGGCTCCATCAGAAGTCCTTCAAAAGACAAGGTGGGGCAATATCGAAATATGAATTTTATCAATCTCAGATCCTTTGCTCCCATACAATACATCTCAGTTTAACGTTGAGGTATAATATAGGAGTAGCAGAACTGATAATTATGAGATTGTGCCCCAAAGTCCTGTCAGTTTGAGCAGTTATAACAATTCCTTTCACAATGACTCCTACTACTATTAAAGTCTTCACTTACATCACACTCAAAGTTTAGTCTCACCGAAAAAAACACGAGCGTCTTTTAGCGATTAACTCTGTGTCAATTATCCAAGTACCAGTGCACTAGTCCACAGTAGTGTGAGGCCTAAATGACGACTGTACATGTGGGAGTTTGATAAAGATGTGTTCTAAAGAGCTCAGTTATCTTGTGGGTAATGGTATTCATGCAAATCGTTGTTTTCGCGTCCGCTTTGACGGAAAGGAATCCTTATTGGAGGCATGTGTTTACAACCATAGGGGGACGAACGACTGGCTATTTGGGCTCGTATACGTCTGTAAATGGTTTGCGAGACCTCCCCTCCCAGCCCCCCCCCCCCCCCCCCCCCTTTATAACGTCCTATTTACGTCCTCTTGCTATTTATTTCGTGCGTACGTGACCCGCTTTTTGGGCTGATATCTGCGGATTGTGCGAAGCGAAGGAGTTGTTACCACGAGAGACAGTAAATAGGAAATGTGTTTTTGACGGCAGTAAAGGTCCAGACCTAATAATTTGCGGAGATGTGTCCCTCATTAACGTCCTCGTTTAACGTCTTAAGCTTGTCTGTGTCTTCCATGTATGACCCGATGAGTAGCGAGAATGACGTCCCTACGCTGTAGATAAACACACGTGCCTCCCGCAACAAATATATCTTAAATGCCACCTCAAAAGTCACATTTATATTTTAATATCACGGAAGCCGGATGCTGACTGTATGTTAAATAGAGCAACATAAGTGATGGAACCAGTCAAGCTCCAAACTGGGTTCCGTGTTTGCCATGGTAACGTCTTTCTTTTATCTCATCCCTAAAGGGCGCTAGAGCCCATGGATCTCATACTTACCAGATGAGATGGTCTTCTCTTTGATCCAACGTAACACCACTGTAGACTAACAAGGCACGACTTCGGTAACTCACTTGTTTGAGCTTTGGCATTTAATATTAGTGCAGTGTTGGACCAGATTAGAAAAAGATGTCAATTCGTCAAAGACGGGATATAAACGCATTCTGATACATCTTCTATCCAATTTCAGTTATATGCAGCATGTTTAATGTCCACCCGACGAGATCAGAATTACCAGTGTACGAGTGGTAATATATTCCCTTAATAAACCACTTTCCGGTTTATTGAATACCGTCTTGCGCGTCTCGAGGCTACCATTTGTTAAGCAAATGTAAAAGCATGGAAGAGCTGTTCCTTTGGCATTCTCGCAAATAGCACGTGTGTAGGGTGAATTGCTGCACAAGCACACCTAGTGGTAAAACACGGCCATGCCATACGGAAACATTGCTGACACAGAGTTGTGGAGAGCTGTTGTGTTGGAAAGTTGTAAATTCAAATATTCAATGTTTGATTCTTTACGACTATTGATACCTTGCAACCTATTGCAAGAGATGAAATAATCGATCTGAGATCAGGTTAGGTTGACTCCGTGTCATTGTACCCCAACGGCATGGGGCGTAATATTAATCCCTGTTACTTTTTTTGGTGTAGATTAAAAATTATAAAGGTCGCCGACTGTTAAACAACAAACAAACAAATTGAATATAAAGTTAGGCGTACGATCCCTTGACATAGAGGTAAGGGAATCAGGATAATTAAGGACGTAGCGGAACATGTTAATAGTTAAAACTATCACCCTTATCTTGTCTCTCTAAAACTCAAAATTAAGAAAGAAATGCCCAAGAAGAGTGAATCATAGTGTCGACAAAATGCTACGTGTGATCCGACCGCCTCCGTGGTCTAGTGATAGAGCGTCCGCCCGGAGAGCGGAAGGTCCGGGGTTCGATCCCCGGCCGCGTCATACCAAAAGACGTTAAAAGATAGTACTTGTTGTTACCCTGTCTGGCGCTCGACATTAAGGGGCTAAAACAAGGACTGGTCGGCTCGGAGTCAGTATACTGTGTCTGAGTGGGGTATTCATGTTAAACTGTGGCATGGTATCTCAGTGGGCTAGCACTATAAATCGGCATCAGTCCGGACTAGTACAAGCAGCCACACACACACACACACACACACACTATATATATATATATATGTGCAATAATCTTGGACGCGACGTTAAACCCAATTTCACCTCACCTCACCTCACCTCACCTACGTTTGATCCATGTACCATAATGATTTCATGTATACGCGTTCGCCTCAAATGATTTCATTCCAGACTTAGTATCTCAGTATATGATGAATCTAAACGCCTATTATGTACCTGTCATAACCTTTTTTTCATATCATCAACTTTCTGTTAGGAAATATATTTAAAGTTATATTTGTAAATTATTATAACTATTATTAAAGTAAATTCAGTACAGGTAACGCTCCAACTGCCGACCATAAAACTTCATCTGGAAACCTTACATTCTCTCCACGTCGACAGAACAAGAGCATGCTCCAGCACATATGACCGAGATACTTTGTGCTCTATGTCGGGGGGACCCCACGAGTGCCACCCGACCACCAGGGATTATCATGGGAGCGAGGAGACCGGGGACCTGTTTCCACCTCGGGGATAAAGTAAATGAATCTAATTTTCCCCCTTCTGCATGTTATTGATGTATTTGCAGTTCTCACTGCGGCACTGTTTGGGATGCACCAAACTAAACATTCCTGCACATGAAGGCTGAGCTCTCTTTCCCCTTAACCCATATGCTGTCGAGTCTGCACGTACTGCCGCTGTGGCGCCTGATTGATGAGAGTATAACACTCGGAACGAATCGTTCTCTTCCGTGAGTTCCGAAATGGCACGAATGGTTATTGTTTCTTTGATGATGATAACAGAACAAGGTTTCGACTGTTTCACATTCATGGCTCAAAGACAAATTAAACTTAAATGTGCGATGCTTGACTGAATGTTTTCTTTGTGAACCAAAATTTCGAAATGTGATATTAAGGACAAAAATTCGACTACATGAGGCTGTCGCATCGAGAGGTAATGTGGGATCGCACTCATGCGGATTTGCGATGCTAATCTTCAGCCCGTTTTCACGATATTCCAACAAGAACGTGCAAAACAGTCGACAACATGGCTACACGTTCACTATGCGCATTGGCAATTTCATTCAAATCGTATCGATTACTGCGATACGATGGCTCTGTGTCACGAACGAAGATATATATCGTATCGGGAGTAAAAGATATGATTCAAATGAGATTAGACATTGGCAACAGCAGCCGATACATTCGTAACCAATCCTACTCCCTAGCCGATGAGAGGTCTACAATGTGTATTTATCCAACATGAGAGCGTATCGATTAAGGGATGTTACAGCTAAGCAACTTCACGTACATTTACTCTATTGGGATGAATAAACTCCCCTTGTGTCCCAGGAGAAACATGGAAACACCGAGAGGACAGGAGATGTCCATCAGACATCAGTGAGGAATACAGTGGGTATAAGGTCATAATGCTTGTATAACACACATGGCCGGACCGTGGATTGGTTTGACTGACATCAACGACGACATGGGGTTCTTGTTTAATTTTCCTCGACCCTTAACATCGTCACTGACGTGAAATGGAGATAGTGCCGTAGTGACGCCAACGTTTCTCGTCAAACAGGGCAACACAATTCTTATGAATGTACACGAAGACAGCATTGAAGATGGTTCTTCACCAGCGTCTGTATATTCGCTTATAATTGATTTTTCGAAATTTATAGGGAGTTTTGACACCATGACCAATCAGTCATTACTTTCTCGTCTTGTTACAGAATATTTAAAAATAGGCATTCTTTTGTTCACATATGTGAACATAAATGGATAACTTGTAGCATTTTACATTAAACGTACCCATTGTATGATTGTTTTTCAAGAATGATTGTAATTCAAAATGGCTGACGATGGATTCGCGTTTTGCCACAAGAAATGCATTCTTTTTAAAGTCAACAAATAATTCAAATTTATTGATGCTTTAAACAATGACATGAATACCATACTGAATTACAAACAAAACATTTTCTTACAACAACAAACAAGAAGGCAAACCGAAACTGAATTTTAAATGTTTTAACATGGAGAAGTGAAAGTCAAAATATGACTCCGAATTCTGCAATGTGGACATTTCTAAACGCTTTAGAAAAACAGGTAATTAAGCTTTCACAGAGGGGCTATTATCTATGCCGTGTTAAGTTCTGCACTCAGGAACAGCCGACGAAGTCAGATGTCAGAAATTCACGAAAATTCGCACAATTCATGAACTATCTTGATGTTTGGTGTGTGTAAATACCAGCTTTCCGATCGCTTTAGAAGTGCACATTGCCTCCCTTTACAGGTAAACGGTTAATGACTGTCTGGATGGTATTTGGACAGTGACTCGGTTACGTGGCCTTTCTTCTATTTGATCTGCACTGAGTCCGGTGTATGTTGAGTGATCTTTCATTAGGGAGGCTCAAACCAAGGAGGCTATAATATGTGAGACCAATAGGTTTTCTGTGGTAATGATGTCATCAGATTCATATCACATGTCTACACGTTTCGATTCGGAGTATGGCGATGATGATCTAGTTCTTGTTGGTGATGATGATGATGATGATGACGATGAAACCTTTTGGTTTATTGATTATGTTATTATATTCTTCATATCTTTTATACGATAACGATTAATTTGATGATTATTGTGATGTTGATTATAAATAAGACGACAATTGTGATGTATATATATTGTAATGGTGGGTGTGGCAGTGTAGATGTTTGTTGTAGAGATGTTAAAAATGACTAGACAACGTGTATGATGAATATGATGATGACGATGATGATTATGAAGACTGGAAATGACAAATACATTGACAAAAGAATTATGCTAGAATTACATAATCCAGCATATATAATGGCAAATTGGTTGACAACGAGATGCTAGGATAAAACTATTACAAATATTCAAGCCTTTTGTATTTGCTCATACATTATCCCAAAAGACTGATTTGATACACAAAAGGGGAGAACAACATGATGCAAATGATTCATATTTTCGTTTTTATGAACACAACTTTAACGTAAGTTGTTATTATTTCAGAATAATCCAGAATGTCTTGGCAAGCGTATATCGACCGGTTGGCCCAATCAGGAGTAGAGAAGGCCGCCATCTACGGTAAGAACGGTGCTGTGTGGGGAACAAGTCCCAATTTCAGCCCTTCTCCAGACGAAGTTGCCGTTATAGTGGACGCCGTCTGCCACAACGATCAGAGCATATTCACAACAGGGGTACGTCTAGGAGGTAAACAATGGACTGTTATTCGAATGGAAAAGGAATCTGATATGCTCATTCTAAAGGGAAAGGACCAGGAGACATGTAAACAAAATATGATTTGTGCTGCTTCCAACACAGCACTTATAATGGGAGCTAATATGGATGAGAAAGTTCAGGCCGGAAATGTTAGAGTAGCCGTTGAAGGTCTTCGTGACTATCTCAAGACAAATCAGTACTGACGACGGCACACGTGATTAAACAAGGATATGGGTTGTCTCCCCTTCGTGTCGTAAGCTGCCTCTTTGTGGGAGATGGCTTTGGCTACATTCGGAAAACATCGACAGGAAGTGCACTTACGATTCTTTCCGGAAACATCCGAGGGGTTCCGAATGTGTCATTTTGGACCTCTTAGGGGTGATTCTGAAACGACTGGATAGCTAGTGGATGGTTATTGGTGTTATCATCAACCGAGGAATGCCGATTGTTTATATATAAGGCTGTCCAAATCAATGTTTTTCGCTGTGCGCATTCGGTAGCGTTATCCACACTAAGGGGACATAACTCGGTGATTATTATTTTTGACCACGTGACTCTAATCTGCAATTAGCACTGCCGACATCTTCAGTGAGCCTTTGGAACTACTCTGATTTTCTATCTGGATTATTGTTTCGCCATTTTTATTTACCTTTCATTTAGCAACGCTGATATGTACCCAACATTTGGATTTCATGTGTTCACTGTATGTTTCTTCTTTCGTCACGTGCTTTGTTTCTTTCATTGACCGCTGATTGAATATTATGTGTAAACATACCTGCTTCTACAACTCGTCGAGTGCCTGCCAGATAAGTTGGATTAGAGCTGCCCTCTTGACATGAACGTACGAGATCTAGTAAGTGCAACGTGATTAAGGCTTTGGAAACTTAGTCCCTTGCGTAGCAAAGCTATTTAATGCATGACGACCATTTCCACGAGCTAGTTTATTTACTAGTTTGATAGGATGTGATATTTACTTTTAGTTCCACTATTAAACCGATCAATGCTGAAAATACAAATTTACATATCCTGGCCAGTATGTATGTATGTTATAGTCCGTCCGGTTGTTTTTCGTTTCTTTACATTAGCTTGTTTTTATCAATATGATTCGTCCCATTTTGTTTACTTTTACAAGATGTTCACATCCTATTTTTCAGGGCATCATTGCAATACACAAACCGTCTTAGCTTATTTTGTTGAATCAAAGTTTGTATTCTGATTACAAAAGATATAACGCAGCCAAGTGTTTTGGAGAAGGAAAACTGAAAACTCCAAAATGCCTCGACTTCTATTATCCCAATATTGAGTGTAGGACCATGCGACTTGGTGGTCCTTGCAGACTCCTAATTAGAACTAATCGAGTTTTGAGCTACGGATAACTCGACGTATGGTCGACGGTTCCAGAGTTCACGAGTTCGAGTTAACGAGGTTTTCCCTTATGTAATGTATTTCCAATTTAGGGAACTACGAGGCCTGCATATGTATAGCTATTACAGCTTTTGGTTACGGGAATAACTTTCATGAATACATACTTTTTCTCACCATTTTATGTTCACCATACTTATGTTCATTGTTTCGGCAAAGATGTCATCAGATGTAGAGGAATTTTTCCGAATTTTTCGCATAGTAGAAGTGCCTTTGTTATACCAATTCAACTGTCAAAGAATCTTTGTTAGGTATCTAGATATGTAAAAGACTATGCGTCTCCATATTTGTAAACCAAAAAGTCGGATAGTGCCTATCCAAATGAGGCTTGTATTTTATTCATGTGTCGGTTATTAAACAATATTGAACTCACTTGTACTTCAGTTGTTTCATTACATACATTCTATTGACCGTTCAGTCGCCCATATATGCTACTCAATTGAAGTAAAAGAACCCCTGATTTTTTCATAGGACTAGTAAATCTGTCATGTCTATGACAGATTAACTATAGTCATATTGAAAAATCGTGTGTTCTTCAACTACAATAGAGTAGTATATCATTGAACCATTTATTTATTACTTCATTTATACATTTATTCCTCGTTCATTCAATCACTGTATTTAGTCATTCCTGTTCGCTGCAAATATTTCATTGACTATCCAGTTTCATTTTTTTAAATATCAAATCTGTTATTAAAAGCGAGGTTTGTGGATCAGGGATAGGGGTGGGGGCAATAGGAGAGAAGGGTGTGGCAGTAGGGGGAAGCAGAGTGTCGAGGAGAGTGGGGGGATTTGGAACAGAGAGACAGCAAATGAGAGGGGTGAGGGTGGATATTAGATGGGTAGGAAGATGTCGTTTTGTATTATTAGATCTTAAACTATATTGTTATGGGAGGAATCAACATCTGAATGGATGAATACAATTTGGACGATCCTCTCTAACATCATGAACAGTTTCTAACATGTAATACATCCGAGTTCTTATGGATAACACTAACATGTCATCACTATGATCATTACACGGGTTACGTCGAATTTTAGAACTGGAATAGGTACTCAGACAGTATAATTATAAAGACTGTATATGGTTGGTTAGACAACCGCTCTAATGCAGTGGATTAGCTGTTATAATGAGATCGGTAGATCGCAACATTCTCTCATAAGTCAGTGTTGCGCACCTGAAGTAAGATGATCTGGTATTTACGGATGCTCTCAGATGCAAGATGCCATCGTGTCTGTCAGATATGTTATTGCATCACTAGGTAAAAGTTGTAAATGGCAAAGCGTAACTCCTGTCAAATTAAATCTACATCATGCATGTGGGTTCCAAACATGATGAACACATATCATAAACATGTATGTCATCACGCCCACCTTTTGAAGACTTACAGCAATTTCACTCCAATACACATGCACCAGCACGTTTACGTACAAGCACACATATCAACCACACTGACACATTAACTGTACCACATTAGCACATATAGCATTAATACACATTATAGTATGACACAAACACACATTGTATCAAACCTGCATTTAATATCATACCAACATACAGTAGTATCACACCAACACACATTTGGTGTCACAAATATAGATAGCAACAACCATACACACATAGTATTTCACACACACGCACACACGCACACACGCACACACAATAACGTCACGAGACGACAGTATATTGTTTCCGTCATCCGGACGGCATTGTTGACGTCATTCGGATCTTATTGTGACGTGGGGTCGGAATGACGTCACACTAGAAACGGCGTCATAGCTTAAGATTGTTGACGTCATTCGACAAGTTGTGGTTACGCTGCTGTTGCGACTTGCTGTCCTTACAGGTAAACACTTAAATTCTCTGTATGTTGACATCTTCTTCGATAATAAATAGAACATTATATTCGTGTTCATGTCACACTATGTTTACGACACTCGTGCCTAAATGCCTCGCTATCGCTCGTGAAATACCGGAATTTAGACACTCGTGTGGTAAACATAGTATGCCATGAACACTCATAATATCATCTATGCTTTGTAAATGTTACCAATGTCAATTATTTTAAATCATATAAAAAGAGCTTATCACGCTTGTGTGTCAGGCGATGGTTATTATCCTGTTTTAGGAATAATACATTTAGCTTGCCGAGGCTCGCTACATACAATGTTTATTCCAAATACAGGATATTTACCATCCCCAAACACACTCTCGTGATAACATATATATATATATATATGACACAAAGTATCACACTAACACACATATATCTTCACACTGGAATGCATAACATCACAGTAACACGACACAAAGTATTACACTAACACACATATACCTTCATACTGACATGAACAATATCACACTAACACGACACAAAGTATTACACTAACACACATATACCTTCATGCTGACATGCACAATATCACACTAACACGACACAAAGTATTACACTAACACACATATACCTTCATACTGACATGCACAATATCCAACTAACACGACAGAAAGTATCACACTAACACACATATACCTTCTTACTGACATGCACAATATCACACTAACACGACACAAAGTATCACACTAACACACATATACATGTACCTTCATACTGACATGCACAATATCACACTAACTTGAAAGAAAGTATCACACTAACACACATATACCTTCATACTGACATGCACAATATCACACTAACTTGACTAAAAGTATCACACTAACACACATATACCTTCATACTGACATGAACAATATCACACTAACTTGACACAAAGTATCACACTAACACACATATACCTCCATACTGACATGCACAATATCACACTAACTTGACACAAAGTATCACGCTAACACACATATACCTTCATACTGACATGCACAATATCCAACTAACACGACACAAAGTATAACACTAACACACATATACCTTCTTACTGACATGAACAATATCACACTAACTTGACACAAAGTATCACACTAACACACATATACCTCCATACTGACATGCACAATATCACACTAACTTGACACAAAGTATCACACTAACACACATATACCTCCATACTGACATGAACTGACACGTCACAACGACTCCGGCGTTAACAATGCGAAATATTGCGACACGATGTTATGGATCGTCGATCGTGGTATTATGTGCAAGTTATCTCGACAGAGCTGGCATATTTCTTACTGTGGCATAAGACTCACACTTACAGCATCAGACTAACACTGAACACAGTAGCACGCTTTTACGCTACATCGTACTTCACAGTGTCAATATCATATTACCCCATAAGCGCAGCAAGGGTAGCACACTAACTCACAAACACATGATTTAATATACTAACAGTATGCACATTATTTAAGAAACACGCACAAGATCAAAGAAACACGCACACAGAAGCACATTAAGACATCAAACAGTATGGCATATAGACATCAGTGATATCATACTTGAAACCAGTATCCAGCACATTGACCCAAAAGTTCATCTTAGTGACAAATGAACATCACAAAAAATCACAGAAGCATCACAATAGCAAAATAAATAAACGCGACAAAACCCTTTCTATATTGAAAAGAAATCGCTGCTAAAGCCGAATCGATTGTACAATTCCGACATTGGCACCCGTCACAAACACATGCAGAGGCAAGTCAATTGCTTACCTAATACAAAAAAACCGATAACATGTGGTACAAGTGAGAATAGGGTAGCGCAGAGCATCACAGGAAAACTATAAATCGGCATTAGTCCGGACTAGTCCAAGCACACACACACAC